TTCAACCTTGTCATAAACTATGCTGCATACAACAAACAGTGCAAGCTTTTAAGATATATAGATTTATTTGTTTTTAATTTTAAGATAATAAATAGTGTTCAGCAACATAGTTGGTATCCAGTGCATTTAATTTATTAATTTCGCTTCTCTTGCAGAGTTACTTTTTTATAACATGTTATTGTTGACTAATGCTCACTTGTCTGACCTATAGTCAGCCCAAGCCCACGAAATTCCTCGTGGCAAGAAGCGAAAGATGCGCCTGTCATTGGCAACAGCCTTGAGCACCTTACAGGTGACAGTGCGATTTAACTCAGTTTTGCCTGTAATTCTGATGGAGAACACCTGGGAGTGGCAGGTCCGAGCGACCCCTCTTCCCTTACCACCAACCTTTCGCAAGGACTTTTGCCTCACATATTTAGAATGCCCACATGCCGGACAGGCATTATACACTTCCAAACATACATGTCTTCTCCATTATTCGAACCGGGCCCTTCAGCATGGCAGCCAGCAGCGCTAACCACTATATCTGTTAGGCAGCTTTTTATAACATAAATGTAGGTATAATTCTTTAATAAATATGAGTGTGGGTTTTAACAAAGCACAAAATGTTTGTATATTTAGCCAAAAGGTAAAATGTAAGTTTTTTTTTTGTTTTGTTTTTCATACTATTATGCTAATAATGCTTCATTTTAAGTGCTAACCATAAGCAATGTCCCTTTAATATCATCACTGCATAAAGGGGCTCACTAGACATTTGCACGACGGTGCCGATTAGGCTTGGCGCGGACGTGGCAGAGACCAGAAACAAATTCTGTCTTACAATCTCAAAACCTTAGTTTAAAAACTATCTATGTGATTTTCATTCTGGTGAGTAAACAGAAAGGGAAAATTATAAACAACCAATTAATGTACATGATAATTAACTGTATATATCTTTGAAGAATAATTCTCTTTCTCTTTATGCATTCGGTTTCTTCAATACATTTTCTCTTCATTTAAAAATTTTTGGATTTAATTAATGATTTCTATTGATCTAAAAAGATAAATGAATTTATAATGTATAGGAAAAGGTGCTAACTTGATTTCTTTAGCAATATGAACATTCAGAATAAATATGAAATGATACATTGTAAGGGGTGATTATAGAGCCAGTGTAGCAAAATTCTTAGAATTTACTGGCACACCGAGCAACAAAATCTAGAAAAGGCAAAATTTTAGAACTTAGGAAGGCACTAGGCAGCAGAATTTCAGGATCTACAGAGACTGAATCAGGTGGGAAAATGTGTAGTGCCAGCCTTTTGTATGATGTGTGATGCACTGAGACATATCAGATGAATCTTTCAAACTGTTGTTTTCAATTTCATTATTAATAGCAAAGTTCTTTTCTATAATACCTGCCCATGAGATAAGGTTAGATGCATTATTGATATTTTCCGTGCTTGTGTCTAGTGGAAAGTAGAGAAAACAAAGGGAAAATAAACTTGTTTAGAAAAAGACTTCTAGTATTAGAAGTAAAACATTAAAATATTATGTTTTCATTGTTCTTCTGAAAATATCCAAAAAGAAAAAGTTCATCATAAACTTTCTGCCAAATACATCCATTATATGTTAATACCATGCAGATATTTTTCTGGAATGTTCTAGATTTGTGGGTTCATAAATCTTGCCTTCAAATCCTTCTAATCTTTCCAAGTTACAATGTCCAAAATCCTAAAGAAAAAATTACCCCTACCAATTCTGTAACAGCAAAAAGCCAGAAATATGTTGAAAAAAAAAAAAAAAAAAAAAAAAAAATCAGAGGGAAATAAGTGTAAAATTCATTTTATAGAGAAAGCTGGTGCATATTGAGATAATTACATGGAAAAAACTCTTACCATGAAAAAATTTTAAAAAAGGCTTTTTTAATTAATTAAATAACTATTTTGCTTTTGCTAAGAATTGTTTTTAATCTGTGTTAAAGCGCATTTTATGCATTTATTATTTTGTCTATTTTTGAGATTCAAAATATTGTGTAATAAGTAGCCAAAATAGAAAGTAATGTCACTTTATAATATGATAGCAAAAAATAAAAAAATTCATTTTAATGTTATTTCTTGAATACAGTTTCAATATATTAGTATTATTTTAATGAAATTGATCAATGTTATAATGCTTTTTTTTTTTTTTTTTTTTTCTTTAAATGTTGAAAAATTCCCAGATTTCCGAATTTAAAATTTTCGATAGAAACTGATCTTAAAATCTCCAAAATGTTGCCAAATTTGGAACTATTTAATAAAAAAAACAAATTATATACAGTACAAAGTCCGAAATCTGGACGTCCATTATCTGGAATGATCTAAAATCTGGACCTCAAAGCCACAAACATTTTTTTTTTTATTAATGCTTTACGCATGCGCATTTGATTTTTTCTTCCATAATAAAACATGTGGAGATTTTCACTTAAATATTCCAATTCTTAACTTCACTTAGGCACTAAATAAAATACCTTGTTATGGAAAAACAATCATGTAAGCATAAATTTATGAGATTAATAATTTGGCTCCGTACCTGAGTATCTACTTGGCATACATCTCAAAACAAAACATTCACCTATTTTATATCCCTGATACCGACCTCGCAAGTCAATATTTTTTATATTTTGCTTTCATCACCGCATGTTTATCAATACATGACAGCTTCAGTAATAACTCATGCTGTGATGTCTAAACATTTTTTATATTAGTAATTGAATAACAAGAGTATGACAACCTTTTATGCTAACATTACGCTTGGCGATGATTATAGATTTTTAAATGCTCTAAGAAATGTTGACGAGGAAAAATTCAATAAAAATTTCTTTTCATATGCTAAAAGTAGATTTTGTTAATGAAACTCATAGGCCAAAAGATTACATTTAGTGCTATTTTAATTGAGAATAACTGATATGTTATTCACCATAAACCCAGAAGTGGCGGCAGAATATGTTGCCGCATCAGACGGCAGAATTTAGCGAAGACGACAATTTTTGGAATTTGGAGAAGTACCGAGCAGCAAAATTAAGGGATGAGAAGTTTTTCATAATTTAGGGGGGAAAGCACTGGGATCCAAACTTTAGGCACGGCAAAAATTTAGAACTTAGGAAGGCCGCTTTGTAGCAGAATTTAGGACCCATAGAGACTGCACCAGGCGGTATAGAGCGCCGGCCCTAGATAAAGCCTTAAGTATATGTAGGAGTTTATTTATTCAGAACCTGGATTAGTTTGAAGCATGTGCAAGAAATCAATGTAGGTATACTAAATAACTAAACTAATAAAATCAGGCTTAATTCAGTACGCAATAGGAGCAAGACAAAATTTAGTGAAACAACTTGGCTTTCGTCGCCAATCTTGTGATACACAGCCAATAATGTATAACGGACGCTATTAAGTTAGGCTAAAATTATCTTTACTGATTTGAAGGCATTTCAATTAATGTAGCAGACTGTGGTGTTGCCTGATCTTCTAATTTGATCCAGCTTATTATTTTTTGCAGACTGTTATTATTACGGCAATTTTATAAAAATTAAGCTTGAACTTTCGATTATGTCGAAAAGAGTTTCCAATTCTGAGCATTCAAAGCATCTACAAAGCAGAACCATGTTTCGATGTCCATTAAACAAAGAGTGAAATTGCTGCTAAAAATGGATAAAGGCATCCGTCTCAAAATTATGTGAGAAGTATGGCATTGGAAAGTCCACTGTATATGACACAAGAAAAAAGAAACTTTTTTATATTTTTTATGGAAGCATATTAAACAACTTATATGGAAAGAAATGTTTAATAAAGTACACAAATAAATATTAAGCTTTCTTTTGTAAATTTTGATACCCTTTAGATCATAATTGTTCTTTATTTCATAAACTACGATTTCATATTTTTAATTGTGTAATTTCTGCATGCCATCTTACCAGATTTAAATTGATGATATATTATCTGGAAAAATCCCAAATCTGGAACTGCCGAAGTCCCAGACTTTGTACTGTAATTCATGAACCTATTCACCCATTCAAAAAAAAAAAAAAAAAAACTATATTTGGCAATGAATCGCTAAAAATATTTGTCCAAAATTCACATTCAAAATGGCAATTGAAAAAACAGACACATTTCTATTTAAGAGAAAGACAGATTAAATTTCAGATGATTAAAATTAATGACCTTCTGCCAAATTTGGTCAAAATTAAGGGCTAAAAGGATCAAAAATCCTTTCCAAAAAAACTAAGGACTCTTAAGGATGGTACGAACCCTGTTTAAATATGGATCATTTGATTGACACCCCCAATACTTCTTGAAGCCTATTTTTAACATATATGAAGAGCAAATTTTTGTCCACATTCAATATCTTCTAACATTCACTTGCTTGGCACTACAATGCCTGTTCATCCATTGCTTAGTGAATAAAAGGGATAAGCGTTAAGGAAACAGATATATAAGATCTCCTCCAATTACAGATTACAGAGAAACCAGAGTATAAGGCAAACTGAAAAGATCTTATTATGAAAATTAGCAAAACAATACTATCTTAATTTTTATCAATTTTTGATAAAAAAAAATTTGTGAATGGGAATATTTTGTTAGAATTATAGTATATATGTATTCCTTTATTGCTGTTTGTTTATGCTACTAAAAATCTACAACAAATTTCACAAAAAAGGAAAAGCAAATATAGTTAAATTTATATATGTGGGTATGTAAGATAATTGTGGGATGCATAACACAACCATAAGATGATGTGTTAAGAATACATGTTGCAAGAATAAAGTATACGGAAATAAGTTATATTTTGTCTCCACCTCCATCTGCTTGTGAATGTTATCTTAAGTATCTACACAGCTAACCTCTAATCACTATTTAGATATCTACAAAATTTATTACATATATATTATTTTCTACTAAATCTATAAAAATTATACATATATATATATATATAATTTTGCAATGAGAAACTTATGACTTTCCTTTTTAAATTCAGTAATTTTCACACCATTTAACTTTGTATAACAAGTCCAACTTTACTTATATATATATATATATATATAACAAACTGTATTACATATGGTTATCATTAAGTTGTATGCATTTGACTAGGAATGGAGGCAATCCAAGTTGGAAAGCATCTTTGTCTACATTTCTCAGCTTCTTTCTAAGGAAGATAATGCAAAGGTTTAATAAGCTAAGACACTGCTTGGATTTGTACACAATATAGTTTACTAGTTGCTTAACTTCATCATTTAGGAATTCAGTCGAAATGGCCTCCCAGTTTTGGGCCCGCAAATTAGCACCACAACTTATAAGTAGATCAACAAGTCTCCGACTTCTACCCTCACACGCATAGAATAATGGTGTAAAACCATCTTTATCAGGTTTATTGATGTCACATCCACAAACAAGCAGTTTACGAACCAAAATTTCTTGTCTCAATTTAACTGCCAAATGCAGAGCAATTCGATCAGAGTTGTCACTAATATTAACGTCAATTCCCCGCTCTATCAACAGCAAACATAAATCTGCATATGAATATTTTTTACATTTTGCTATAATTGCTGGACTGCGATTAGCAGAGCTTTGTGCGACATGAAACAATGCTGTTTGTCCAATGATATCTCTGTGGTTAATCTGCAAAAGAAAGGTGACATTAGAATTTCATATAAATTAAAGTATTTGAAAAATAACAAGATTTTAAAGCAACTCAAATGTTTGATAAAATATAAAGTCATAGGAAAATTTTCTTGGCCTTCAAAAAATACCCAGATATGAGAAATATTTATGAATGCTACAAAAAACAATGAAAATTCTACCTATTGAATTAAATACGTAGTGTGGAAGAATTTCTTGGCTGTTATAACTATCAACTGGTTTCCAAATACATAAAATTTAAAGGAATATTGCAATTACTTGATTTTTGAAGACTGCAATTAATTAATTTCTTTAGTAATAAATGGATAGATATTCAGTTGCCTTAATTTATGAGGAACTACGCTGGTAGATAACTGCTTAAGATGGATGACAGTGACAGCAATAGCAACAACAAAATGGAAGGCAGGAAAATGTGGAAACTAGCATAAATGTGGAGTATACTAAGACGTATTGTGCATAAGCAAATTTTGGATTGCTGAAGTTGTTTGCCATGTTATAGTGCTGATAAGAGATAAAGGATTTGATGCATATTGACCATTGGTGTTCGAAAGCAAAATTTAACAGGAAAGGATCAACTGCAAGTTTTGGTACACCTTCCCGAGATCACTTAGATGATTTTATGCTTGGCCGTATATAACAGTTATACGGCCATGAGAAGGAGCAAAAAATAACAGATATTTCTGGGGTATTAGATGTCAACCATAGTGTTGTTTCAAGGCTTTGGAAATTATTTCAAAACCAAGGGAATGTGAAGCAAACATCATGGGGAGATTGTGTTTGCAGTAGGACGCCAGCAGAAGATAGTACATAGTGCTATTGGCAAAAATAAAACCAGCACAGCACAGCTACTGAGGTAGCACATCAGTTACCCGTTGCTACTGGCAAGCAAATTTCTCCAAAACTGTAGCCAGATGTTTGCATCAAAGGAGGACTATACACCCATCCTCCTGTTGCATGCATTTCATTGTCTACACATCACTGTTGCCCCTGTTTGCAATGGTGTCCTCAGCAGCGCAAGTGACTGGGCTTGCGTACTATTCTCAGAATGAGTGTAGATTGTCATCAGATTATAGATGACAGTTGATCTGGCGTGAGAGTGGTACTGTATATAGTGCAGCAAATATACAGCAAAAGGACAGATATTCTAAATGTAGTGTCATGGTAATGGCCATACGTCGCTCTATGTGCTTTCAACTTGGACTACATCTAGCCAACGCCACATTAATGAAGTTTTGCTGCCTCATGTTCGCATTTCCTATCCTGCTGTCAGTGATAAATTTGTTTTTGTGGATGACAAAGCAACATGCTATTGAACAATCATGGTCCCACAGTGTATAGAGAGTGTGGATATTCAACACCTTGTATAGCCAGCACATTCTCCAAATCTGAATACCATTTAAAATGTTTGGGATGCTTTGGGGAGGAGTCTTGCTGGTCAACAATGTCCTCCAAGACACACTCATCCATTTACTGACACAGGAATGGGATAAATTACCCCAACAGCTGCTGGATAACGTTGTGCAATGCATGACATGATGGGTGGAATCTTCCACATCTTCCATGATGGCTATATCTGATATCGACCTCTTACGCCTAAATGCCTGCAGACAGTAAATGCATTTTTTTTTTCACTTTTACGTTATAAGGTACTTCTCCCGCCTTCTTGGTGTGGTGGCCTGCACGTTCAGCACATAATTGAGAGGTCCATGGTTCGATTCCCGGCAAAAGCATTTGCTAATCTTTCCTGCTTCCAAAATACCTAATGTCTCTACAGTGGTGCCCAAACTAAAAAAAGGGTGTTGGATGATGATTCTCCTCACCCAGGATTTGGCTTTTGGGTCCCCTAAAAACCCTAGTCGAGTATATAAGGTATCCTGCCTTCTTGGTGTGGTGGTCTGCACGCTCAGCACATAATTGAGAGGTCTGTGGTTCGATTCCTGGCAAAGGCATTTTCTCACTTTTCATCTCTCTTGTTCCAAAAAATACCTAATGTCTCTACAACATATTCAGTGCAAAATGACCATTTTGTCCCTCGAGCACATTTCAAAGCCTTCTGAATTTCAGGAGCATACTAAATTACCTTTATGGTTATATCCTAGTATCCTGGCATTGTTTTATTTCACTTGGCATATAACAACATTTGCAATTTTATCCCTAGCATTCGGTTTTTCTGTTTTGTACATCTTTTCCAAATATCAGATTTTATATTGTATATCATCAATTCTGAGGAGCCTAAATTCTTAAATTATTACATATATTGCAAATACTTAGATTAAACTGTGGAAGCTATTAACATAAAATCCATACAACAAAATCAGATTGCAAATTATTTAAAATCTTATACTTTTATATCTTATACGTCATTTACATGTGTTTTAGTATTTTTTTAACAGTTTATTTTTTCCCTTAAATTTTGTAAGCTCTTCAAGATGCAAGATCCTAATCTCAACTTTTCAGATTGCAATTTTTTTATGCTTTTGTTAGTTTGCTATGAAACTTGTGCTTGTAAAAATAGATTCTTTTGTAGAAAACCTGAAATCACTCTTCTTCTCCTCTTTAATACATTTGTTCTATTTTATTTCCTCTTTTAAATTCATTTATTCTAATTTTCAGGTATTTCTTTTCAACTGTTTCAACTCATTTTTACTTTCACTTTCTAGTTTTGTATTCTTTTCTTTTGTTATCAGAATTTATCACTCATCATTTCACAATAGCATTAAATTCATACTAATGTACAATTGGATTCAGGATCGAGAAAAAGTTATTTTCAGTTCTGTTTAACAATTGCAAGTGCAATAATTTATTTAAATATTAATTCTGTAATTAAGTATTAAGAAAAATTGCATTGCTTCATGAGGTTTCTTTTTTACTTCAAGCAGTACAAATATCAAATCTACCAAAAAGATTTTAAAATAATAATAACTGTTTTATTTTTTTTTTAACTTTGATATTTGTAATATTTATATTGCTTGGAAAAAGTAAACCAATGATTGATAAACAATAAGGAAGAAAAATTTTATCACAATATATCTCAAATGTATATTATATATCCAAATATAGCAGTTCGGGAGATGAAAAATTAAAGCCTCTGAAGCCTGAAGCATAAAATTATTTTGCCAACAAGAGTTACTTTTCAATAATTAGTCAGCACTCTACTTAAAAGAGCTCTTCAGAAAGATTTATTGTTATGTGCCAAGATATTTCATTTAGAAACTGCTATAACTTCCTAAATAATATTTAGTTACCATAATTTCCGGAAGAAACACCGCGGCATTTACGTGTTTAAAACAAATTTTCAGCGGGTGCGGCATTTAGGTGCACTAAAAATAAAATATTTCCTTTGATGGTCATTGTGCATAGTTTGAATAATTTTGTCATTGTAAATGGACCACTCAGTTGTTCCCACAGAAAAGACCACTCAGTTGCTTTTTGTGAACATTATTTTATTTACACTCTTTCCCTTGAACAGACCTACATGCCTTATTCACCCTAAACGGGATCTCAAAACAACAACATTCTTCCCCCTTTCAAATCAACATTCTCATCATTTTGAATCGTCTCTCTCCTCTGCCATTCGATGAATCTTCCAGGACCCATCCTCTACTCACCCCTGCCTTTTCTCCAATTTTTTTCAATTCTCCAATTTTTTCCAAGGCGGACACGACTCCACCTGCCTCGCAATAACGAACTCTGTCATATTTCCCCTTCAGCATGAATCAATTTTTCATGTCATTCTGCCAGATACAGATCCCATCAGTTTGGGTACAAGTACTTGTTGGATAGTTTTTGAGTAAGAAGGGAACGGAAAACTTTTGAAAATGGCACCTAAATGGCACAGAAGCTATACTGCTGGTTTTAAGCTTAATGTAATTTCACGTGCTGAACAAATTGGAAATAGAGCAGCAGCTCGAGAGTTTGAAGTGGATGAGAGATGTATTCAACGTTGGAGAATTGAAAAAGAAGAACTTAAAAATATGCTACAACAGAAAAGAGCCAAAAGAAGTGGTACTGTAAGGTGGCCGAATCTAGAGGACGACCTTGCAAACTGGATAAAGGAGCAACAAAAAAAAAGGGATGGCAATTTCGACTGTAAAAATTCGCTTACAAGCAAAATTTATAGCAAAGCAAATGAACATAAATGATTTCAAAGGAGGGCCTTACTGGTGTAGCAGATTTATGAACAAAAAAAATATTTCTGTGCGTACTAGAACAACAGGCGGGCAACAATTACCAATGGACTGGCAGGATAAAAAGGCATCTTTCCTAAAATACACTGGTGTGCAAAACTTAAGCAACAGGTGTTCTTTTTGACATAAATCCACGAGATATCATCTGAGAGACATGCAATTCAGAAATAAGAGACAGCATTTTGTATTAAAACAATGACGAAAGCATTATTGCGCAAAAATGAATACAATGCATACAGTATGGAATTAAACAAAAACAGGCTTTATTGAACTCATAGTATCGTTACACATGATTGTCTGTATAAGAGGAAGAACAACAAGTAGATGTTCCTTAGTATAGGATATGCCCTCCCCTTACTGCAATAGTTGCTTCTCATCGTCTCCCCACACTCAGCACCAGATTGTCCAACCGATCTTGAGGTGAGAGTGCCCATTTCTCAATCAGCATCTGTTTCAGTTGTTGGGTGTTTGCCGGTGGATGTAATCGTGCCTCAAGGCGTCTCCCCAAAACATTTCATACATGTTCTATGGGATTTAAATCAGGGGAGTACGCTGGCCAATCCATTCGAGTGATATCTTCATTTCTCAGTAGCTTCTGAACAGCAGCAGTCCGGTGTGGCCTTGCATTGTCATGCATAAAAATGAAGTCTGGTCCAATGGCCCCTCGTAACAGACACACATAGGGAAGGATCACCTTCTGACAATAGCGATCTCCGGTTACAGAACTTCTGTCGAAAACGTGGAGCTCTGTCTGCTCGTTCAGCATAATGCCTCCCCAGACGAGATCTCCAGGACACTGTAATAGTCTCTTTCCATGACGTTACTGAGATTAAACCGTGTCCTTACCTCTCTCCAAATAATTTGGCATTGAGAATTGCTTGGGGCACTAAAACGTCTCTCATCCATAAGGAGGACATGACTCCATTGATGAGATGCCTAGTTTTTGCGCTCCTTGCACCACTCTAAACGGTGGCGCCGATGGCCAACTTTCAAAGGAATGCAGCGTTCAGGACGGCGGGCAAATAGGCCATCTTTGTGAAGGTGTCTGGACACAGTAAACCACAACAATTGTCGCCGGTTGCTGTACACAGTTGCTGAGCTGTGGAACTTGCTGACTGGTTTTGGGTTCTTTTCGCCTGTAGGACGATATATCGGTTATCTGCTGCAGTTGTTGTACTGAAGCGGCCACCACCAACCTTTCTAATAGCTGTACCTATGGTTTGGAAGGCTTTCCAAGCCAGCGAAATGACACTTTTGTTGACTTCCAAATCTTCAGCCACACTGGTCACACTGCGCCCCTCCTCCAGCGCTTTCCGATCATTCTTCCACTCGTAAAGTCATCCAGATGATTTCTTCTAGCCATATTTCACGAAAGATTTCACTTGTACTTCCAGCGAATGTCTTTAATTGCGTCTCCGTCCTTCCTTTTATGGTAGTCTCGAGCGAAGCGTGACGACCGCACGCTTTTTTACGTAGCCTGTGACTTTTTTCCCTGACATTTGCATATGCAAGACCTTTCTACTGAATTGCCTGTTCATTGTACTGATAGCAAGAACCCCTTTTTCTGCAATTGCATGGTTATCTGATTAAAATTTGCATTGTTGCTTAAGTTTTGCACACCAGTATATGTGACAGATATTATTGACAAAAGAAAACTTCTTCGGTCACAGATAATAAATATGGATGAAATGCCGTTAGCTTTCGACTCTCCTGCAAACAGACTGTTGATGAAACTGATGCAAAAACTGTATCTGTGCTTATGACGGGGCATGAAAGAACATCATTTACATGCACGTTAGCTTGTGCCGCAAACGGTGGCAAGCTAAAGCTGATGATAATTTTTAAACAGAAAACTATTCCGAAGGGAGATTTTCCTAATGACACAATTATTTGTGCAAACGAGAACGGCTGGATGTGTGAAACAATCATGCATGAGTGGCTACAAAAAGTTTGGCAGTGTCGTAAGGGATCTTTTTGTCAACCAAGAGGGTTATTGATAATGGATTCCATGCGTGCTCATTTATTTGCAGTGAAAACCAGATGTTAAAAATTGTCTACGAGCACAGCAATAATTCCTGGTGGTTTGACAAAAATCTTACAACCATTAGATTTGTCAGGTAATACAGTCAAAAGTCGTTAATTCGGACACCCATAATTCGGAATGATCTATAATCCGGACATCAAAACTAAAAACTTTCTGCGCATGCGCCGCGTTGACACATGCGCAGAGGCGTTCACGCGTGCGCGTAAGACCTTTTACGACTGCGCATATGAGTGTGCGCAAGTGCAGAATACGTTTTTCGCGTGCGCATTTTATGTATAATGGACGTATAAGCTAAAATTATCTAATTATCTATTTCAGTTAATGTTGATGATTGCGTTGTTCCTTAATTTTCGAATTGCATCCGGCTTATTATTTTTTGCAGACTGTAAGAGCAATTTTATAAAAGTAAGCTTAAACTTTCGATTATATCAAATAGAATTTCCGATATATATTTGTTAATATGTAAAGGATCTAAAGCGAAAGTATGTTTTGAAATCCGAAATCTGTTTATCAATTTCACGCTGCTCGGCAGCGGGCGCGTAATGAATTGGAAGTTGATTTGTCAGCACTATCCTTATCTTCAGCGCGCAGATGTTTTTATTTATTTGGCTTATAATTCCTTACCAAATGTAGTATTTCATCTCGATATGCTCCGTCTTTGATATGATTTAAAACAAGTTCCTCGTCATTATAATTCGCTTCCGATAGCGAAGAAAAGTGACAGAGGTTATTGAAAACAAAAAATTTCGATTGACAAATTAGTCGGTGTTCTTGACACAAGCAATTATAGGACTTGAATGGCGGAACTTTGTAACTGAACAGAAATTATGTCTGTTAATAGAATTAAAGAGAAAGTATTATCACATGAAACGAAGCAAAACTTAAACAACTTACATTGAAAGAAATGTTTAATAAAGTAAACAAATAAATATTAAGCTTTTTCTTTTTGCAAATTTTGATACCCTTTAGATCATAATTGTTCTTTATTTCATAAATTACGGTTTCATATTTTTAATTTTAGAATTTCTGCATGCCATCTTACGAGATTTAAACTGATGATCTATAATCCGGAAAAATCGATAATCCGGAATCGCCGAAGTCCCGACGAGTCCGAATTAACGACTTTTGACTGTAAATCCTTCAAAGCTGAAGTCCGAAATTATTGGGAGTGTTGGATGAATGAAGGATTGCATACGTATACCAAAAGCGGTAAAATTCGTAGAGCATCTTATGAAGAAGTTGCAAAGTGGGTAAGAACTGCGTGGAAATTGATGAAAACATCGTCAATAATAGCAGGATTCAAAGAAGCTGAAATTATATCTTTAGATAAAGAGACTGTAAACCAAGAGGATGAATGTGATGATCTGGAAGACTTGGACTTAGATCAGGATTTACTAAATCTTTTTAATTCAGAAAGTGAAGAATGTCTTTTTAATTCAGAAAGTGAAGAATCAGATTTTGATGGCTTCATATGATGTATAGTTTGCTGTAATTCCTTTTGTAAGTAAAATTTAAAATTTCCTTTAGTAATCCAAATTTAATATTTCGCTGTTGCAACATTTTTTATAATATAGTCTGAGTATTACAAATATGGACTTCTTTAGTGGGTAAATATAAGTATATTCGTGAACGTAAATATATTTCAACATTTCTTACCCTTTAATTTATTTTGAGTATTATTTCATTTCATGCATTTTCTTAACTGATATGTCATATATCAGAACATAGGTTGAGATTTTGCATCTATATGGCCCACGACGATGTCACACGCAATTTAATCTATTGTGGCGTTTATGCTGATGCAGCATTTCTGCGTAATTTTAATTTTTTTCCCGCCCTTTTTCTCGAGTGCGGCGTTTACGTTGATGCGGCCTTTCTTCCGGAAATTACGGTAGTAATTTTGTTCAAAATTGTGCTTATTCCTTTAAGAAAGATTTCATTTTCCTTAAACGGCAGGATTAATTTAATGAACTTTTATCCTCTTTCTTTCATAGTTTTGCTCAATGTTATTTCAAATAAAGAAGATTGAGAAATGGGTGATATATGTATAGATTTTAAGATCACAAATTAAAAAGAACGCTTATTTTAAAATCTTTATTTAAGTATCAACACCTTAAGGCTCATCACCTTTAATCTGTTCTTGAAAGGCACTTAAAAGACAAAATTTCAACCAATCCATAATATGAGATAATATGTCATCCATCTCCATAAATGTCAATTTGTATAGAATTTTATTAACACCATGAACCGTGTTTTATTTAGCATCAAATAAGCTAAAGACAGAACTTACAATGTATAAAAAGATATTTTTCCTTAAAATTATTGTAATTATTTACCTTTAATTTTATTTCATATTGCTAAAAATGCATACACATTTAAACAAAAATGTATAAATTGACATTCATAGTATTTTAACAGCTTCAGTTCTTGAAACTGGTTTTTATTAGTTTCTAGAATTTGCTTCTAAACAGAAATTCTATCAACTGGAGAAGCCGAATTATGCATATGTCTATGAGAAAATAAATTTTACTTAATAGTAAGGAAAAGATTGGCTACATTTGGCCCAACAGACATCTAGTTTATATATCAAAATATAAACTTTGAAACGGATAGTTATTCCCATATCAAATTATATACAAATTAATACAAAATATGTATCATTTAATATACTTAATTTCACTACTTACTTCTGCACCAGCGTCTAATAACATATTAACAATATGTATAGCATCATCTGGGACATTGGACACAGCACTTAATATAGGGCCATATCCTCGCTCTTCAGTAACAAACACATTACAGCCTTTTGACAACAGGTACTGAACAATTTCTGGAGAGCTACATCTACAAGCTATGTCTAAAGGAGTGTCTCCATATGAATCCATCCTCTCACGGATATATACTGGCGAGTGTTCAGTTAATAACTTAACAATTTCTGAAAAGTAATGCATACATTGTTTTTCAGTTTTTAGTATAATCAAAAACAAGAAAATTATTATAGTATTAGGCACAAATTAAAATTAGAAGTATTTTTAAGGAAATGCAAAACACAAACAATGAGAAGTATTGTTTCCCCCAAGTTCTGGAATTGTCTTTCTTTCTGTTAAAAGAATTCTGAAACAGGAAATAGGGCTTATATATTCCGTAATGTATTAAACCAGAGTTGGATGCAAAGTTGGATGTTTTCTTGCAGGCGTAACTAAACTACTAAACTATAGATGGTCATATGTAAGGAAAAGGGCATCAGAAGGATTCAAAGAATTATCTGATGCAAAGATAGAAACCAGTGGCATAACACCTGATGGAAGTAAAACACATTAGGAAGGTATGGCAACATGGTTAATCCAACAGTTCAGAATGCTCATAGCAATGAACTGCAGTTAGAATTGATCTCTGATGAAAATATGGCATGAGGAGGGAAAAAAATTTAACAAATATCTACATGGTTTGAAGAATAGTTTCATTGAGAAAACTGACTTTTCTAAACCTTGTTGTCTCTGCAGGAATGAACGCAGCTATTTTCCATTCACATTACTTTAGAATTACATTAAAAATTACTTTCTCAATGTGAGCTCATCAAGTTAATTTTCAATCCAGGATAACTCCTAGGTATTAATAATTCTAAATCCAGAGGATTGATTCACCAAGCTCTAGTAAATTACCAAAAATATGGAATCATTTTTTGCATGAAACAAACATATTTTGCAGCATAGTTTAAGACATTAATCTTCATTTCCCACATTCTGAACCAGAGATCTAGCTTTGAGAGATATTTGCATAGAACATAAATTGAAGCGTTGGTGTTAAAAAGTTGGGATAATATGGCGGTGTCGCCTGCATAGCAAGATCAACACCTGGTGATTTCAGTATGTCATTAAAGTAAATATTCAAAAGCAGAGGTCTCCGCATAGATTGGAAGGAGGTAGAAAATTCAGTTTCAATATGTACACAGAAATAACATCAAATCAAGTACGAGTTAAATTAATAACCTGAGCTAGAAGTCTATGATCTACTAAATATGCCTGACAAATCAATTCACATCAAAAGTCAACATCTAAATAGGCAATTTCTTTCTTTCTTTCTTTCTTTTTTTTTTTTTTTTTTTTTGTGTATGTGTGTGTGTGTGTGCGTGCGCGTGTCCATGAAATCTTTTATAAATGAATTACCAATAGGAAGAAAACTGTATGCTTGGAACAGGCAAAATACCAGAAAATAGACTCGGGAAAAAAAAAAAAAAAAGCAATCCAAATGAAATATACACAAATTATACAGTGTTGAAAGGAATCAATATTCTAACTGTGGATAAGAGGCATGAAGATAAGTGGTAGTTACATGTGGCAAAAACCATAACACACATAAAAATGCACACTTTGTTGACTTTGATTTGTTCTTAGCATTTGTAAATTTGCTTCTGGAATGAACTATAGTTCACATTTTTATTTTCTAACTATTGGTCCTAAAATGCTCTAAATTATTATTTAAAATTTTCCAGAAATAAACTTAAAAAAAGTGAAGTTGGTTTCCTCCCTAACCCTAAATTTTATTGGATTATTTCCTAATCTTGCATTAACTACAATCTCATAATTTGTTCTCCCGCCTCATTTTTTTTTTTTTTTTTTTTGGCCTTCTAGGCTTGGTAAATAAAAGAATAAAAATGTACTGTGCAATTTTTTGAATTTTCACAAAATTAGTACAGTCAAAAGTCTTTAATCTGGACGTTCATAATCCAGAATAATCTATAATCCGGACCTCAAAGCTACAAACTTTCTGCGCATGCGTAAACGCATATGCGCGTTTAATGTATAACGGACGGTATAAGCTAAGCTAAAATTATCTAATTAACTATTTCAGTTAATGTTGCAGATTGCGTTGTTCCTTAATCTTCGAATTGGATCCAGCTTATTATTTTTTGCAGACTGTTAGAGCAATTTTAGAAAAGTAAGCTTGAAGTGTTTTCGATTATATCAAAAAGAATGTCCGATTCTGGAGCTGCCAAAGGATCTACAAAGTGAAAGCATGTTTCAATGTCCATCACACAAAAAGTGGAATTGCTGCAAAAAATGAATAAAGGCATATCCATTGTTTCTCTAACCATTCCGAAATCTGTTTATCAATTTCACACTGCTCTACGGGGGGGGGGGAGACAAAGTGGCGTGCAATGAACTGGAAGTTGATCTGTCAGCACTATCCTTATCTTCAGGGCAGATGCTTTTATTTTATTCGGCTTATAATTCCTTACTAAATGTAGTATTTTAGTATTTCATCTAGATGTACTCCGTCTTTGATATGATTTAAACCAAATTCCTCGTCATTATAAATATCACGAATACACATCAAATAGTTTTCTGGTTGCAATTTTCTAATTTCGACTATGACTAATGTATGCTTTACGCATGCGTGTGTTGAAAGAAATGTTTAATAAAGTAAACAAATAAATATTAAGCATTTTTTTTGTAAATTTTGATACCCTTTAGATCATAATTGCTCTTTATTTCATAAATTACGGTTTCATATTTTTAATTTTATAATTTCTGCATGCCATCTTACCAGATTTAAATTGATGATCTATAATCCAGAAAAACCGATAATCTGGAATCACCGAAGTTTCGACGAGTCCGTGTTAAAGACTTTTGACTGTAGCAGATTATTAACCATCTCACTGTGTGTTTTTTTTTTTTTTTTTTTTTATATATATATATATATCAAAATAAGTTCAAAAATTTGGTATTTTTTATTACATATTTCAAATTTACATATATTTTAGAGTTAAAATATACAAAAATGTTTTGTGAAAGAGTTTTTTTTTTTTCAATATAGAATTAGATTATAGAAAAAGGTTTTCAGAATACTGAAATTGAAGAATATTGATATAAAAGAAAAATTTTGAAAATTAATATTGGTTAAATTATGATTTATTTTATAAAATACAAAGGTAAAACATATATATATATATACCAATGAAAATATTTGCATAATGTAGTATTTTGCATATGAATTTTGCACCACTGTCGAACGTTTTTAATAGAAACTGAATTTTCAGATTCATCACTATCTGCAGAGGAATCGGAGAAATTCTCCTCAGTTTCCCTATAACTATCTTCAATATACTTGAAATCAGAGTCAAAACTAATATCAGTGTTGGAAATATCGTCAGGAATATAGGTTATATCACTCGCGAAACGCATCTTGCCAGAACTCTGAAAAGTGCCCGCAAAATGCTACATTATGTATTCTTGTATATTTGGCAGAAATGTGGACAACTAGTGTCATATGTTAGCCCACACCTAAATAAACAATTAAACATCACAGAAAAGCTGAAAGGAAACCTTGAACACGGAAAGAGCGGGTTGCGCAGTTAAACAGACGGCAAAAATTCATCTCCGCAGAAATCACAGGTTGTGCAAATTTTGCTACTTCTGCGTTGCCCATGGAAATCGTGGGATGCGCAGCGAGAGGGTTAATACATTATCTGTCATTAATTTCTCTATGATTAACATTTATATATATATACTCACACTTTTTTCCTTAGTGTTTTTAGCACAAGTTTCTGAAATTTTTTTAAGCTTTCACATGAATTTTCCCCTTAATTTTAAAACGTATTAGTAGTTGCATTCATCTTACTACTTGATTTGCTTGAGAATTTGGGTGCATGGGCTCAGATTGATAAAGAAATAATAGTGAAGAACTTTAGAAAAAAACGAGGATATGTAATGTTCATGATTGTTTGGATGATCATTGCATGTAGGAAGACATGGAAGAGTAATGAAGATGATGACACAGACAGTTTCAGCAGCACTCTATACCGTTACAAATTTTGTATACATGTAAGTAATACTAGTGAAATTACATGTAAATTGTAGTATCACAAGTATATTGTAATATGGAAAGCTTCAGGATGCAAAGCATCACCAAAAAAATAGAGGTACACAGATGAGGCCGTTTAACATAGGCTGCCAACTGGTGATGATTTTAACAACTAATTGTTGTCGCCAAACATGGAAACCATTTGATGTGATATCTGTGTAACTGAAACTGAGCCAATTCCTATGTAACTTTTAAGTGATACCTTCTAGCAATTTCAAGAAAACAAAGTTGCTGGATATTTATCTGGCTGACAGTGAAAAATTATGTACAGGACTGAAGACAGCATCCGTTTTTAATTGATTTCAGAATACTGAGGGATCCCCATAGGGGATTTTACTTACTGATATGCTTTCCATTGCTTTGTGTTCAACGTTTGCAGTAGCTTGAAGAGGTGACTACTGACTGCACTCTGTAATACTAATAATACTAAGAAAAGCTGTATGAATTTTTTTTTTTTTTTTTTTTTTTTTTTTTTTTTGTGGAAAGTTCCAGAACTGTAAAGTGTTGGAAATGGAAGTTTTGAAAATATATCACGCTTTCACTGGTTCTGTAGGCATTCAACCCATTATGAACCTATCCGCAATATAACTACGTATTCTTATAAGAATGTGTGTTTGTTTAAAATAAATATATTTTGATATTCAGCAGTTCACTCATGAATTTATTTCATTTGCTATATTACTGTAACTGCATCTTTTGGAAATTAAATTATTCACATAATTTTTTGCTCTTGGTTTTTGCATGATAAAATTATTAAAAAAGCGGGGAATGCACAAGTAAATATGTATATTTTTTACATTTGAACTTTCATAGATTTTATATTTATTCATATGTGTGTAATTCCTATTTACTTGCATATTTTCTCTTTAGCTTAATGCAAGTTTCTGAAAATTTTTCAAGCTTACATGTAATTTTTCTATTCCACAAAGCATTCAAGAAAGCAATTTTTCCTTAATTTTTAATATGGATTGGTGTTTGCATTCATCTTATTAATTGGTTTCCTCATGAATTTTGGGCACACGGGTTTTGATTGATTAAGCAAGTATAATGATAAGCTTCAAGAACACAAGAATATCTACTGCTTCTCATGGCTCTGAAAATCA